CCAATAAGAAAAATATGTTACCAATAGATTAGAAAGGACATCACTCGTGATAAATTGGAAACAATAATGTTTACTGATGAAAAAATATTTACAAAAAGACGATTATTTTTAATCCAAAAAATGACATTGTTTGGGCTGATAACTATTTTATAAAAGGAAAGATGATCGGCTATTTAGACACAACAAAAATTGTGCTTCCAGCAGGATGAGGCTAGCTCTCATGCAGATCAAAAAGTTCAAGAAGGAAGCAAAAAGAACTTCAAATTCTTCATTCAGTGGAAAAAATACACGATAGTGAACTGATTATAGATCAATATAGTTAATTCTTGTAGTACACTCTATTGTACCTTTTGAAACATGTTATTATTATTTTATTATTTTGTTTTCTAGTGAAATAAATCATCGCAAAACTTTTGTCGCATGAATTGAGTTATCAATATTTGAGAATCTATATTAGACAATTGATTTACCTGAATGTTTGAACACATGGTGCTTCACTCATATTCGATGAACTATTAAATAAATAAATAAATAAATAGAAATTTAAAATTAAATAATTAATTTCATTTACTTATCAGATTGATCAATACGAATAAATAAAATAGGTTCATTAGGTACAATCGAACGAAAAAATCTTAATTCATCAATATCATTAGGTGATAATATTTCTTGATCAATAATATAAATAAATATTGGTACAATATTTTCTGTTATTTGCACATATATTTGTTTCATATTTAAATTTTGATTACTTGGTGTTATAACTATTTGTAAATCATCACTAAGTAATTCTAATGGTTTACGTATTTCAAGTGATGCTGTTTCTTGTTGTTCATAATCATCAGTTAAATTATCATCATTATTTAATAAGGAATTATGTTCATTTGTACCATTTACAATTAGATCATCACGAGGTACTGTTGCCCATGATACAGCTTTATACATAATATCAGCATTTATAAGTTCAAATGAACCAGATATACTGAAACTAGCACCATGTATTGGATGATTCTATATTGATAAAAATTAATTATGTAAACAAAAAATTTTCAATGAGTCATAAATAGAAAGAAATTATTGGTAGAATTGTTTCATCGAGTCTTACTAATAGCAATTAAGTATCGCGTAATTAAATCATGTAGAAGAGAATTTTTTTAATTTAATAAAGATGCTTTCATTGATAACTGATTAGATTTATGTTTCTAATAGTGTCTTGCAGTCAGATCGAATACCCAGCAATATATGACATCTAAATGTTTCAAAATATGTTTACTTTTAAACGTAACCAAATTATTCTATTCCAGATCTATAAGGAATCATTTATACTAAATCTAATAAATTCCTAAAATATACATTTTTTGAACATTTCAGAGTTGTAATCTTACTCGTTGAAATAAATTTTATTGATATATCATTTTTCTCTAATAAAATTTATCGACAGGAAGTTTCAGTGTTCTTATTAAAATAAGCAAACAATTTTATTCTAAAATATCATTTTTATTTTCTTATGTTCGTCTATACTGTTCTATTTTCTTAATCGAAGATTTCATTGATGATTCTTAAGTCCCTCCTTTCCCATTAAAAGTCTAACTTCGATAGGATAAATAAGATGACACAAAAGAATTTATTTTATATAAGACATCTACTTTGAGAGTGTAGATGAAGATAAGATCCACAACTTGTAAAAATCTAATAGGAGAAACGGCGAAGGCTTCAATCTTGAAACCTTAATGAACAGTTTACTGAAACTGCGTATCTTTATTATGATTCTGGTATATCTCTAATCTTGACATTTAATCTAAATTTGATAGTTTAAAATAAACAGAAAATATTATAAACGAACCTCTACCTTGATTCGAATCATTCGTACAACAGCATTATTATCGATAATTGGTGATTCAGGTAATAATTGTTCATTTAATAATTCATTAACAAAACGTGATTTTCCACTATAAGATTGCGAACAAATAATAAGTGCTAATGGACGTGTTTTTAATGCATCAAGATATTCACGATCAGATTTTGATAAATGTATTTTAGACATTTTTTCTAAAGAATTAAAATTAAAAAAAAAAAAATTCTTTGTCTTTTAGATAAAAACATATAATTCTTCATACCAGGTGCAAGAACACGTGTATCATTTATTTCATCATAAGATTTTTCTGTTTCTTTAAGTAATCGTTGAATATGTTGACAATAATATTTATAACGTCGAATAATGTCTGAAAATTGTTGAGTTAATACTGACGAATGAATTGGTAATGGACTAGTACTCAATGGAAGTGTTGATGACGATTTTCCACCATTAGATGTTATTGTAATCGGTCTATTTTTATCTGTCATTTTTGTTTTTTTTTCTTTTTTATACTTCTTAAAACATTATCTGGAAAAAAAATAAACATTAAAATAAACAAAGAAATTTTAAAATCTTGACTATTAAGAAAATATTACTAGAACTAAAATATTTCTTCAAAGTTTATGAGATTGATCTTTAGCTTCTTGATATTTTACAATTATAAACAGTTATCTATGTTCCATCCCTATATAAATATCAATACACGATAAATCATGAGCAATACATTCCTTTGTAATTGTTATTTTTCCATTTTTGAACAGCCATGAAAAAAAACATATTTCAATAAAAATTTTCACAGTACTTATGTATATAAATGAAAATGTTCTCGAATTCAAAGTTGAAGAATTTATCATAACGTTTATTGTTTTTCTTTTTTCGAGAAGGACAAGAAATAAGTTGATATTCTATAAAACTTACCTCTATCTCATGTTACATTATAAATAAATACAAACGAAGTTGTTTCTTTTCTACTTGTCAACATCAAAGGTGCGCATCTATATATATATATTGACGTCATCTCTTAGTAAAATTATTATAACTGATTATATAGAAGACAATAAAGAAAGAAAAAAATTGGATCATCTACCTTTTTATTCTTCATACTCAGATGTTTCAAGTAAACAATAGAAATGAAATTTGTAGCTCGATTATTGATAATATATCAATTTCGTCGTTCATTTCTTTCTATTTTATCTTTTTAAATAAAATCTTCAAATAAAGTAAAATACATTTTTCTTTTTTTTTCTTTTATCGTTCTTGTGCTAATGCGAGGATATTTATTAATATATGTTTGTTTTTTCTTTTAAACAACAAAAAAAACAAAACGAAAAAGTAAACCAAAACCTTTAAATAACATGAAATGAAAACGAGAAAATTTTTTAACTTATATTCTTGTTGTTGTCATTGTTGTTTCTTGCACAAATATTTATTGCTTGCGTGGTTGATTAATAAATTTTTGGTCATTTTGTTTTGTATGAGTATGAATTTCATGTTTAGGATGTGTACCAGGTTTATCATGAATATGTTTCACAGCTTCAGTTGGAAATGCCTTTTCAATCTAAATAAATCAATTATATTTTATAATAAATCTTCTAATAAAGAGTTAGTCAATTCAGTAATATATTTTAACTATAAGAGAAGAAAAACTATAGTGTTGAACAATTAATCTGTGTTATGTTTGTGTGACACTTAATGAAATAATCAAGATTTAAAGTATTATCTCAATATATACTGAAAAAGAAAAATACTATTTGGAAGCTGCCGAAAAAATAAACGAAACATGCAATTTTATTGATTAGGAAAGAATCTAATTGACTCAAATGTTAATGTTCTATTTGTTAAATTTCGAGAAAAAGAATGACTATTCAACAAAATTTCTTCTTATATATACTTTTGCTTATTCAATAATATCAACATCTTAAATCCATTTATTTTTCGTATATCAATTGTTTCCAAAAAAAAATATTATGAAGATAGATTGAGAAAATATATTTTTCTCAAAATAAAATTTCTGTATATAAAAATCCCAAAAGAAGACTTTTTTTTATTATAGAATGAAAAGATTCATTATCGAATTTTTACATACTGGTACAAATACTCCTGCAACCATTTCACCAGCTGCCCGATTAGCAACAGCGCTAAAAAAAATTCGATTATAATAATATGTTCAATATTCTGCACATTCACCTTGTAGTCTCTTCATTATTAACATCTTCAGCAGTCGTTTCATTAGTAGCACCGCTTCCAGTTGTATTATCACCTGAGGATTCTTGAACCTTTTCTGTATTATCATCAGTAGCTGTTGCAGTAGCAGCAGCATTCTTATCTTCACCATGTGATGTTTGTCGCTGTCGAGGTGCTCCGACACGCATACCAGCTACTTTAGCTATTTAAACAAAAAATAAACTCATAATTAAAACAAACTGAAATCGAAATAATTTTAATTCTTACTAGCTGGAGCATGACCAGCTTTAAGTTCAGTCGAGCCAGATGTATCAGTTGATGATGCTTGATCCGACATTTTATATTTGCAAAAACAAAAAAGAAATACGGAATTTAATAATCTGAAAAATAAATATCGAGAATTGATTTCACATATTTACTGTAAAAAAAAACAATATCGTTTTAAGAAACTGTAAGGACTATCTTATCGTCCATTATATATTCGTGAACTATCATTCGTGATTACGATCGGCCAATACCGTTACTTGTTTGTTTCGAGGTTAGACTCTATGAGTTGTATTTTTCTTGTGGTTTATATTATATCCAATAAAACTTTTATTTGATAATCAGAAGAAATGTAAGAATAAAATATTCTATATAATAAAAGAGTCCAAAACGATTACTTGTCTTACGAAATAACAGAAGTTTGAAAATATAAAGCAAAAAAAAAGTCATTATTTTTTTTTTCACTGTATGAAATGAAAAACGATCTACGCATATCAGTAAATGACTAATAAAGCCGCTCGTGATCGATTCTGTTGTTTTTCTTTACTTATCAAAAGAAAAGAATATTTGTAAAAAAAAAAAGAAAAGTTATATATTTATATGCCTATGCTTAAGAATAGGTTAACAATAGAACAAAAAGAAAAACCTGTGTGTACAACCAAAAGCCCACATAGAAAAAACAAAAAAACAAACAAAATTACGGTGAATGTTTAGAAAGTTTTATTTTTCGTGATGGTAATTTCATTGGTTTTGATAGCGAAGATTTTGTCATAGATTCATCACCACTTGTTAAATCTACATAATTTTCATCATCATCATCATCATCATCATCGTTATTTTTCTCAATATCTTCTTCATCCGATGAAGAATCATCATCATCATCATCGATATTTAATTTTTTTGCTTGATTAAAGAAATAATCAAATGAAAAATTTTCTTTTTCTTTTACTGCTTCACTTTGTAAACGAATATTTTTTTCATATGCTTGTACTTCATTAAGAAATTCTTGTCCCTGTTTATCAAATGCAAGACCAGTTACATAATTAAATGTTTCTTCAGGTGTTAAAACATATTCATTAAGTGATCGTCGACTAAAAAATGTTGAAAGATTTGTACAATCACGAAGTAAATATGTATATGCATTTAGATGATAAGGTTCAACTGATTGTGCTACATCTATGACATGTACTATATTATCAAACCATAATAAATTATATTCACTAAAATCAGCATGAATTAATTTACATTCATGATAGAGACGTTTGAGTAGCTAAACAAAAAAAATAAAATAAAATAAACACGTTTTTTTAAATCTGAGATAAATCAAATGGTTTTTTATTGATATTCAATAATAATTAGAAAAATTATTAATCTTACATTTAAACATTGTTGATAGGCATTAGCAAGTTCTTCTGACGATAGAATAGCATCTCGAAGACGTTCTGCTGGTACGCCATCTTTACCAATAAATGAAAGAAATAGAACATGTTTTTTAAGTAAAACAGGTGTTGGACAAGGTATTCCACTACGTTGAAGACGTTGTAAATTAAACATTTCCTATAAAATAATAAAAAGACAAAAAAAAACATTGTTTGTTTTTTTTTCTATGGAATTAATTCAAATAAAATATTTTTTTTTTGAATTACTTTTTCTGCCCATAATTTAACAATTTTTCTTGGATTAAGACTTTTATAACGATTTTTAAATCGATAATCTTCTCGTAGATATTTTTCTCGTGTATGAAATTCATTTAATGTTGTTTTAAAAATCTAATAATAATAATAACAATAATAATTAACAAAAAGTATTTATAAAAAAATACCGCCGGATAAGATCGGAAATCTGTCACGTCCTTAGATATCATTTTCAATAGAATAGAAAGATAGAACATGAAATTCTGCACGTTTCTGTCTATTTATTTTGTACTTTTGCTGAATGCAAAAACAAATAATTTTCGTGAATATAAATCCAGCATGAAAACTAATAGCATAGGCAGACCCGGTTTTTTTCATGCTCGATAAATTGCTATAGTGATCCTATTTACTATTAATTTCTATCTTAGATTATGTTGAATCATACAAGTGGAATGTCTAACCATGCATAAACTAATTGATATGTCATTTTGTAAAATATGAAAATCTACATTGATCTACACTATTAAATTTCATATTGAGTATGTAAAAGATAATAAAATACAGTCACTATTAGAGGCGACCGGGCCCAGAGATCCTTGGATCCGATAGGCTCTACTCATAAAAGGTCAATAAATTAGGTCCGAATTCAAGAATTTTGATCGGTCTGATCCGAAGTCCGGGGTCAACAAATTTTAATCAATTGAGTTTGGGTCCAAAAATTCTTGGGTTTGATCGACTGTAGTCATCATAGTTATTCTTAAAAGCAACCAAAACTGATAACTCCCTAAGATTATTGAGTTCTCAATATTGTTTTTTTTTTGAATTCAACAAAACAAAAAATAAATGTGCAAGATTTCATGCTCTAACCGTATTAAAAGTAAAACCTGAGTGGGTAGCAGATTTACTATCTTATCCGGTGACATCTTCTTTTTTTTCCTACATACTTTAATTGCTACTTCAGATGGTATTTCATGTTGTTCTGTGTCACCACCTTTACCATATAAAACAATTGATTCTTTACCTGTTGCAATAATTGCACCAATTTCATCAAGTATACGAGCATTTAATAATTTATATAAAATAATACGTGTTTTTGGATCAAATGCTAAACTCTATTAAATAAAGAATATAGTTTTATTTTTTTTTTGAAAAATAAACAACAATAAAAAAGAATTATTTACAGCTGTAGCTTTTTCAACTTTATCATGTAAACGATTCATACGTTTTTCTTCAGCATAGGAATGTAATTTAAGCTGATTATAAACACGATTTGATAATTGCATTTCATTTAAAACATTTCCCGTATCAAATTCAGGTGGAAATGTATTCATAACACGTGCTACATTACGTTTACCACATAATTCAGCATTATGTTTTGTTACTAATGATGCACCTTTACCACTTGTACCTCGACGATTAAATGATGGCATTGGATGATCTTTATTAGAAAAAAAAAATATATTTTTTAAATAATAGTAATAATAATAAACGAAAAATACCTTTTTCACAATCACTGAATGTTTCTTTCATTTCTTCGATATCATCATCATCATCATAATTCGTATTAATTTGATTAGATGTTGATGCAGGTAATAACATAAAATTTTTCATGGAAACTTTAACTGAAATTAAGAAATTTAATTTTAATAAATTGAAAAAAAAAAATTTTCTACCTTTACTATTACGATTAACAGTTGATTCATATTTTTTCATCATTCCATTAAATTCATTAGTATATTCATGTTGAAGCATTAAAGCTAATAAATAATCATTATCATGACTTTCTTCTAATGAGGATGGATCAATAGGATGATGATGATCATCATCATCATTTTCTTCAGTGAATACGGAAATTTCTGTTTCAATTGGTGTTTTTGAATGACGACTATGAAAAGAATAGAATATATATATTTAAAATAATTTAATTCGGTTTCATTACCGTGTTTCATGCGCAAATTTTTCATCTTCTTCATTTTGTAATTTAGCTGCTAAATCACTATCCATAAGTTCTTGAAATGAAGTTGAAACAGGTACTGTTTCTGTTTTTTTCCAAGGACATGTCGTCGTTGATGGAGACATTACTGCAGTCGACGACGAACTGTCGTTTGTTTCCTTGGGCATGATAGTTACCGAAGTAAGTTATTAAGAAATATAAAAATCTACAGACAAAAAAAACATCAATTTATAAAACTGAAACGTCTTGCGTAAGTACATATTTCGATGTAATGATGTCATAATATGCACTACTTATCTTCTGGTTCTTTCTTTCTGTCCTTGTTTTTTTTTTACGTATGTCAAGTGATTCATAATTTACGCAATAACTGTGTATTGTGAATATAAACCATAAAAGAACTAGAATTCTTTATGTTTTTGTTTTCTTATGACAGACAAATGAGAAAAAAAAAGATATAACAAAAAAAAAAAGACGATGAATAACGCTGGATGGAGTGTTACAACAGTCATACAAATACATCTATATAAAAGAGAATCATTTTTCAGATCTGATGAACATATGGACACATGTTTGAATAAATATATATATGTATATATAGACAAGAAGAAAAGAAAAAATGTAATGACAACACATACACAATAGAAAGATAAATGATTTCTTTTTTTTTTTTTTTTATTTATTTATTTTTAAGAATTTTCTCTTTGATTATATAATAAAAACGAATCTGACATGGTGAATTGTTGTTGTGGCCAAAAAATATTTTGTTGTTCATTCCAATCATTTGATAGAGAATGATAAGAATACAAATTTGACCCTATTTAATATAAAAAAAATATTGTACATACAAAAAAAAAACCAAAAAAAAAATTCTACCTGAATAATGATAATTATTTAATGGTTGTATTTGTGCATTAAAAAAAGGACTTGATGTACGACTACTACTTTCTATTGATGATGATGATGAACGACTAATATTTGAATCAATATTTTGTTTTAATGGCATATGTGTATCATTTACATTTAATGTTTTAACATTTTCTGTTAAACTAACTAAATCATCATCAGATGATAATGATGAAGCTGTTTCTTCTCCATCGCTATATTCTTGATGTATTTGACCATCACTATCATGTTTATATAATGGACACCATGTACCTTCATCACCAAAGCAAACGGCTACCTCACCTGGATCTATAGAAGATATATATATATGTATAACATTTTTGTATAGATATGTTTATAAAAGACATGCGTTTTTTGATACTGATTTAAATGGATCGTGTTGGAATTTAATACTTAGAGCATACCAAAAGTTCTAGTCATGGCATTTAAAGAATCTTTTCGGACAAGGAGACCTATTGGAAAATGAAAAACTAAATATCTGATGTTGTAGAGCTTTTTGAGGCGCATCGGATGGTATATAGTAAATCTTATTTTCATAGAACTTTGAAGGACTTAGAGTCAATTTACTGATAGACGACTTTTTCATTTCTCAATAGGTTCCCTTATCCGAAAAGATCCTTTAAACGTCGTGGTCAGAACCTTTGGTATGCCCTAAGTACTTCTTTTAAATCATGGTTTATCGTCGAGTAAAGCTCATCGGGGTCAAAATTTTCTAATCGAAATAAGATAGCCGTCTCTACATTTCTAAGACGATTCGTAGGAGAAATGTGTAGTGTATACTGTAAATTTATTTTTTAGATTCTATTTTGTAGAAAATCGACTTTAAATAAGCTAAAGCACTTTCAAACTTTTATCAATTATTTGTTGAATTTCTATTATTTAGAAAATACTTGATTTTCTGAATAATAGAAATTTGATTTGATTTCTTGCATAAAATCGAAACTTGAATATCAATTTTTTTTTTTGTTTTCAAGAAAGTAGAAATTCAATGCTGAATTCGTATGAGCATTCCTAGAATATCTTTTATGAATTCATTGTAGGCACTCTGTATTTTACAGTGTAGAACCAATTTTATTAGAGAATTTATTAATAAACTATTCTGAGGTTTATCTCTAGTGGTGTGCACGATAAACCCTATTTTTTTCGTACTCTAACTGATGAGAGAGAAGTTGAGACTACTCAGTTGAAAATCAATTTTTCTGTTACCAAGACATTCATTTAAAAAATCAAGGATAAAGAATTAAACTCACATTTGTTGTAAATACTACTTATTACTCCAATATAATCTTTTCATATCTCAGTTTTAATCTATACTCATGAGAATATTATGTTCTTAAAAAAAAAAAATTTACCAATCCACATAGTGAATATGGCTGGTAGATAACGGTGAAGTGGTAAACAAGAACGTTCGGCAATAGATTTTAGAATAGGATCTTTCCAATGTTTAGTTTGTAAACATCGATATGCACTACCACGATTTGGTGTTGCTAAAATATAAAATATAATTTTAAAAATTAAAATTCTATTCATTTATCTTACCTGGAAACCAATGATTAACAAATCGTTTCGATAAAATATCATGAAAAGTATGTTTAAAAAGATTTATTTGTTCATTTGATAATTCTACATGTGCTTTTATTAATCGTAATAAATAATTACATGCAACATGAAGTTCTTTGTTCGGATAAGTCATTATCGATTTTAAAAAAAGAAATAGAAGAACAAAAAAAAAAAAAAAAAGAAAGGATAATATAATCGATCTAGAATGAATTCATTATTTATATATTATTTAAAAAAAAAACGAAGAACAACTATGATTTGTATTCATATGGAGAAATAAACAATCGAGAAGCATCGATAACCTTATATCGAGGACATATACTTTCATTAATATGTAAAAAGGTCTCAATATGATGATTCTCATTATATTTTCTAGTATCGTAAAATAGATAAATCGTGACTTATATATTAATGATTTGTAAAGTGATATGAAGCGTACCAAGAGAAGCCACAGTGACATTCATCAGAGAGAGAGAGAGAGAGAGAGAGAGAAAAACAAACAAATGACTCATGTTAATCATCTGATCGTTTTATCTGTTTATTTTAAAAAATTAAAAATTAAAATTAATTCCAATTAAAAAATAAAAAATAATTAATATTTTCATTAACTTTAATTATATTTTTTTTCACATTATAAACAAATAAATAAGAAAAGAGGTCGCTAATGAAATCAATTCATATATAAGGAAAAGTGAAGGTATATGATAATTAATAATGGTTTGTATTACTTACATAGGATATGAAAACTTCCTGTCCTTATATGTAGTGTATACACGTAGCTAACAAATAAAATTCTATTTATTCTCATCTATATTATACTTTTATTGTTTCTTATAGATTGTAACGGGGACGAAGAGTGTCTCCTTTTCACAATTGTTCTCATTTATTATTATTTCTCTAAGAGTTCATGTCGTATGGCCGAATCTTATTCGATCATCCGACGAGCAACGGCTAGCTCGTTATAATAAATACAAGAACAAAACAAAAAAAAAAAATAACCGTCTACTTTCTACTATTATTTTTCTTTTTTTTTCTTCAAATAACTTTATCATGAGCAAAACATCGAAAGACTTACCTTTCTCATCTATTATAACTCAAGTATCAAAAGATGATGATAAAGATCGATCAATGCCATTAACAACTACAGTTGTAACTAGTGGAACTTCTCAAACAACAAATGGAACTATAGGTAATTAATAAACGAAACAACAACAACAACAAAAAAGTTCATAGAATTCTTTTTAGCACCTCGTTCAAGTCGAAAACAACGTATTATATCTTTATTATTCTGTTGTTTGTGTGGATCTTGTCGACGTCAACAAACCAAAACAGCATATTCTTCAACAACCACTACTCCTGCAGCTCATGAGGTGAATTGAAATGGCAAAGAAAAATTAAACAATTTTCAATTTTTTATTCTATTCATCTTATTTATAGTGTGTTGCACTGAATCCTGAGAGAAACACACATTTAGAGGTATATTTATATATACAAATAATCGGATGATTTGAATAAAAAAAAACACAAATTAACAAAAAGGTGTCATTAGATGTTCTTTGAAAATTTTACTAAAAAAAAAAACAAATTTTAATTAATTCAAAAAAAAAACAATTCATTATTTATTTTTCTTTTTTGTTTCTAGTCAAATGAAAAATTTTTATTACCAATATTACGTGATAATGAACAAACAAAAATATGTTTAGTTATTGATCTTGATGAGACACTCGTACATTCAGTATTTAGACCTGTATCTAATGCAGATTTTGTTGTTCCTGTTGAAATTGATGGACAAGTACATCAAGTATGTTTAATATATATATATATATCCTTATTCAAAAAAATTATTAAACATGATCTTGATTTTCTTTTTTTTAAATCAACTCATTTACTCCTCCTTTTCCGTTGAGAAAAATATGAGTATCTAATTATAGGAAGAAAAAAAAAGGCATAGGATTAACTAGAAGGCAATTGTCGAATCAACTTGAATAGTCTTTCATTTTGGAATATCTAATGTTTGATATAATTCTATGATTGATGACTAATTAATATCACAATATATAAAAATGAGAAAAAAAAATTGTGAGAATTTAATTCTTATTTCTATTGTTAAACTGCGTATAAAAATTTTTTTTTTCAATATATAATAAAAATTTCTGTATTTTAAATTTTGTCAGACAGCCTATTTAGTGAACAGAAGCTTGAAATAGTGAATCATTATCTAAATTAAATCTCGTTCTCATCAACTGACTATTAAATTAAAAAAATATGTTCTCTTCAGCATTATATTGTATCAAAGAAAAAATCTTAATTTTCCTTTCCTTTATAACACATTTTTTTCACTGGTCCTTAATTATTTCTATATATATATATCCATAAAATATAAAACTAATGTATTGCACTTAATGTCAGAATAGAACAATTTAAGAATAAAAAAAAGATTTATTCTCAATTAGATATGATTTACAAAAGAAAAATGATATGTCAAATCTATAAATAAACATTATTGATTAAATATATTATTCTCTTAATAATATAAATATTTTTCTTTAGATTTATGTTACAAAAAGACCACATGTTGATGAATTTTTACGTCGTGTTGGAGAATTATATGAATGTGTTTTATTTACAGCTAGTTTAGCAAAAGTAATTTTTTCGTTTTTTT